CCGTTAAATCTCAGAACTTACCAATGCATGACTATGGAGAAAAAGTGACTAGCACACAAATGCATCACATTTCAAAATAAAAGTGCATAAATCATGTTTATATGCCCTCTTACATATCATGTATGCACTTTTAGTAATAAGTATCTTCACATTATTGTTTATTTCATTAATGTTGTTTTGGGGTAAGGATTATGTCCCCCATGTATTGTCATTGGATTTTCAACAAAACTTGGTGAATGACTCTCCACTCACCCCTCTGATTTTGGTAGTTTGCATTCTAAGAATCCACAATAGCAACAGTGGCCACTTCTAGTTCATATGGATTGTACATTGACACATGGCAGATGAATAACTCATATACACTTTCAAGAACTTGTTATCATAGGATATATTAAAATGTCTGAACTTTTCATCTCAGGGAAAAATAAAATGAGAGCATGCACCCACGGAAAACATGTGAAATAATTACAACCAGGTTCAACTTTTGTAACAAAACCTTACATCTACAAAGAGGACATTCAAATTGAAGTTCAAGTTCAATATATTATTAAATATAGGCGCAAAGAGCATACCTCATGCTTTCCTTGGGTATAAACCAATCATGGTTCACAGTTGAAAACCTCAGAAACGCCTGGGACGGGATTCAGCAACACTTACACGGATTGATCTTCCGTTTAGGTCCTTTGAAAAGTCAACAAGCAGAAATAAAAAATCACAGTGAATCTAACTAGGGAACTATACAATCTAGTTTAAAAAAGAAGGAAAGAAAAAATTGGAATCGAGTTTTCCAGAATTTAAAAGTTTGAAATATAGATGTGAAACATTCAAAAGTCCTGCAAGAATCACATAGTAGTGTGGTACCACCCACTTTTTATATCAAAATTCCCTGGATTTCACAGTTCAAGAATCAGAGGGAACACATCTCACCTTGAGCATGTGGTTTGTTTGGTTGTGAGAAATGAATTGAACTTAAGTTCATTACAAATTTGTTTTATACTTTCATCTAATTACTAGTCAGCAGTTGAATCTCGTCAGTTCAATTCCAACCACAAAACCAAATTAAACAGTCATAAATTAATTATCAAGAATCACAATAAGCTTACAGCGCCATCCAAGGTTTTAATGGCATCATTGACCTCCTCGGCAGAACTGTAAGTAACAAATCCGAACCCCTTTGATTTGCCACTGTCTCTGTCATAAATGACTTTGGCTTCCATCACCTTTCCTTGCTCCCTGAACAAGGTTTCAAGTGCTTGATCATCAACACCCCACGCAAGATTCCCCACATGGAGCTTATTAGAGTTATTACTGTAGTTATTACTGTAACCTCCCCCACCCATGGATCCCCTGAACGAGCCTTCCCTTTTTGGTGGTGGAGGCCCACAGTTCACCCTCAGTTGCCTCCCATCAAGTTCCTGTCAAGAATAATCATTTCATTGTGAAAAGAAATATAACATACTTTTTGCAATAAAATGTACCCCCTTCTTTCATATTAATGATCCGTATTACAGGTTGTTAAGAAACTCATTAAATAGAAACTCAATATAGTTCACACTTGGTGAATCCTGAAATTTTTTAATTGAGCTTGAAGGTATAGGGTTTTCCCAAGAAGTGGATAGGATGCCACAATGGAGTATATATTAATGTCATCAGAGTTAAGAGACCAGAAATGCATAAAAGCAACTATGACAATGACAAGCACATCTGTGAGAAGAAAATCAAAACTTTGTTTTCAAAATATTGACAATAAAATGATATTTTAAAAGAACCAAGAAGGAGAAACTGGAGCTTACTTTCAACCGTTGCTAATACGGTGGCATCACTATTTGGATGCAACCAATGTTGTGTAAGAAAAAAAAAATCAAATTAAAGTTGAAAAGGCTCGGATATACTCATATACACTGACAAGTTGAAAGACCAAAGCTCGTTTCAACAAATGCTCGTGACAAGCCTCATAAGATGCAAACACTAATTGAACGCAACTTAAAGCATTGTGAAGACAACTCAAATTATAAGTTTACAAGTGAAGAAATAAATTTACATATCCATCCAACTGTTGAACAGCGGCTTCGACTTCCTCAACAGTGGACATTGTCACAAACCCAAATCCTCTACTTCTTCCAGTTTGCTTGTCATATATAACCTGAATAGATATGAATTTTTTAGCTCATCGTTCTGTCACTTAAAATACTTAGTCCTAATGAAAACTGTAGAAAATATCAGCAGATATTTTTGCAATGTTTCAATTTTCACATTTGAGGATGCACGGCTTTTGAAAATATCAGCAGAGGTAGTATATCTCAAAGATTAAAATTCCATGAACTAACAAAGCAAAAAGAGTTCTTGTAGTGAATATGTTAGAACTAACCAAAAAACAGATAATGTGTATACCTCGGCCATCTCAACACTTCCTACTTGACCAAACAGACTAGCAAGAGTAGCACTTTCAACACCGAAGGGCAAATTCCCTACAAAGAGCTTCTGCTCAGGGGGGAAACTTGGCTCGTCGGAGTAAGAGTACGATGAGCCGTCGATACCGAGTAGTCCCTCATCTTCGTCTTCTTCAACCACGTCAACCTCGTCCGAGAAGGCGACATTTCGAACAACGCAAGAGTAAGGCAGTGAGTTGAATGGTCTAACGCAACAGGAGAAGGATAAAGAGCGATTGAGCGAGGACGGATAGGGCGGAGAAAGGCATAATGAAATGGGGGCGCGACTTGGTTTGGAAAGAGGGAGAGATTGAGTGTTGAGCGCGAGGAAATGTAGGGTGGATGTTGAAGATGCCATGGCAGATGTTACAGAGGATAAGGTCTAGAGAAAGAACGAACTCCAGTTGAGAAGGCAGATAACGAGACCCCGCTGCAGATATTTATTTATGGACAGGAAAGCGAATATATTTCCAACCCATTGGGCTGGAAAACTGTAAAGCTATATTTCAGCCCAAAGTCTGAAACAAAAGAGGATTTGATTTTGCATCCCATTTTTTGAATGATATTGGACATTGCATTCTATTTTGGCTAAAGGGTCAAATAGGCCCCTGTACCTGTTCGGAATGCTCAATTCGCACCCCGAACTCAAAAAAGCTCCAATTCACCCCCTGAACTCGCCAAAAAAGTTCAAATCCCATTTTTTGCAGGTGAGTTTCCGGTCATTGCCACGTCAGCCGGTTAGATGCCAACTGTGCATCCCACGTGGAAATCTAAGGGGTCAAATAGACCCCTGAACCCGACAAAATTGTTCAATTTACCCCCTCAACCGTTAAAAAGTGTCCAAATTGCCATTAAAAAATAAAAAATAAAAAATAGAAAAATATAAATATAAATAATACACAAGTTCATAATATAAAATATATGAGTCTATTTATAATATGACAATAAATTATTTATATTTTAGGGTAAATTTAATATTTTAAATATTTATGAGTCTATTTATAATATGAAAAAATATTAAAAAAATTAATATGAATTTATAAAAAATGTATGGTTGATTTTTTTAAATGGATTTAAAATATCAAAATATTTTTAATGAATTTGTTTTGTTTTGTTTTATGTGAATTTACCGCAAAAAATAAGGATATATTTATATTTACAGTAAATTCATATAAAATAAACTAAAAGAAATTCATTAAAACTATTTTCATATTTTAAATATGTTTTAGATTTATATGTAAAATTACACACACACATGCATATATGTATATATACTTCATAATATTTTATTCTAGAATCATATACTACATACTATACTTCATACTAATTATATGCAGCATAAAAAATTTGTACTATATAAAAGTTATAATATGTAAATACCAAGGGACTACTACATTTTTATAATATGTATTTAAAAAATAAGTACCTTCATTGTGTTTATATATATATATATATGTTTAATTTACCCTGAAATATAAAAAGAGTCAATTTTTTTTAATTAAAAAAAATCGTAAAATTAAAAAAAAATTGACTCTTTTTATATTTCAGGGTAAATTAAACATATATATATATATATAAACACAATGAAGGTACTTATTTTTTAAATACATATTATAAAAATGTAGTAGTCCCTTGCTATTTACATACGGAGTATTATAACTTTTATATAGTACAAAATTTTTATGTTGCATATAATTAGTATGAAGTATAGTATGTAGTATATGATTCTAGAATAAAATAATATGAAGTATATATAGATATATGCATGTGTGTGTGTGTGTAATTTTACATATAAATCTAAAACATATTAAAAATATGAAAATAGTTTTAATGAATCTCTTTTAGTTTATTTTATATGAATTTACTGTAAATATAAATATATCCTTATTTTTTGCGGTAAATTCACATAAAACAAAACAAAACAAATTCATTAAAAATATTTTGATATTTTAAATCCATTTAAAAAAATCAACCATACATTTTTTATAAATTCATATTAATTTTTTTTAATATTTTTTCATATTATAAATAGACTCATAAATATTTAAAATATTAAATTTACCCTAAAATATAAATAATTTATTGTCATATTATAAATAGACTCATATATTTTATATTATGAACTTGTATATTATTTATATTTTTCTATTTTTTATTTTTTATTTTTTAATGGCAATTTGGACACTTTTTAACGGTTGAGGGGGTAAATTGAACAATTTTGTCGGGTTCAGGGGTCTATTTGACCCCTTAGATTTCCATGTGGGATGTACAGTTGGCATCTAACCGGCTGACGTGGCAATGACCGGAAACTCACCTGCAAAAAATGGGATTTGAACTTTTTTGGCGAGTTCAGGGGGGTGAATTGGAGCTTTTTTGAGTTCGGGGTGCGAATTGAGCATTCTGAACAGGTACAGGGGCCTATTTGACCCTTTAGCCTTCTATTTTTCAAAAATATTTTACTTTGCAACCTAAACATATTATTTTGTGAAAAAAAATTCCAAATGCGAGGCAAATTCAAAAGAATTTTAGATGAAATGAAATGCAAAATCAAAATTTTTTCATTCAAAGTCAATTTCCCCTTACTCTAAATTCGGTTCTAATTTTAAAACAGTAAAACAAAGGATAAATTCGTTCTCCATACGGATTTTTTTTTCACTGAACATCAATCATCTATTGTTGCTTGATCGATCCATATCACCTCGGCGAGAATGGCTTCTCAAATTGCGAAAAGAGTCATCGGCAGCTTCTCAAGATGTAGTTCATCGGCTGCGTCAGTTAGGGTTTTCAATCGGAGCCTTGCCGCATCGGCATCCGAGCCAGCCTCTAATCTAATTCGCGCCACTCTCTTCCCCGGCGACGGCATCGGTCCCGAGATTGCCGAATCCGTCAAGCAGGTCTGTTTCTTCGCACCTTACGTGCGTCTTCAGTTTGATGCTCAATCTTGCATGGAGTTAATGCGCACCTTCGGTTTTTTGTACTTAGATTGTTGTGGCGCATAATTTGAGTCTATCTTGCTACAATGATCCATACTCTTGTAGAAAATGATTCTTAATTTAGGAGAGTGATATATACTGGAAATTAGATAACTTTAAAATCGTATAGATTGTGCTTCTGGAAGAGCCAAGAGGACGCCTCCACCAAGTACTTTGAAAATTGTGTGATGCTTGAATATATGACGCAATCTTCAATTTCTATATCGTTATTCCGTTCGCTGGTCATATTCTGCTATTTTGATGCACACCATTGTAGCTTAATGCAGGTGTTCAGAACTGCTGATGTGCCTATAGAATGGGAAGAACACTTTGTGGGGACAGAGGTTGACCCTAAGACCCAAAGTTTTCTTACATGGGAGAGTATCGAATCTGTGAGAAGAAATAAGATTGGCTTAAAAGGTCCGATGGCCACTCCTATTGGAAAAGGTCATCGTTCTTTGAACCTTACATTGAGGAAAGAGCTCAACCTGTATGCCAATGTTAGACCTTGTTACAGTCTACCAGGGTACAAGACTCGTTATGACGATGTAGACCTTATCACAATTCGTGAAAATACTGAAGGAGAGTACAGTGGTCTTGAACATCAAGTGAGTTAGTCTGCAGCATATCTTCCATTTATAATATACTTTTAAAACCCGCATATATCATTGTCAAGCCCATTTTTGGTTCAAACTAGGGGATGCCGGAGGTAGGGAGGAAAGTAGAAATGAGAAAGGGTGGGGGATAGGTCGTGTCTTAAAAATATCATATGTGGTTTATTGAAACAGTGACGTGGATTTAGTATTCTGGGATAGTTTGTCAAGATATTGTATTCTATATACACGTATTATTTCTTTGTATCTAAAAATCTATAAATCTACATGTAAAAGAATAATGTAGAACAATTTAGGAAAAGAATAACTCCCTAAAGCCTTCCAAATTGGCGGAGTGAGATATATTGAGACTGCAGGATTTTTATGGATCCTTCATTTTCATCTCCCTCCTCCCTAACCCTAGAACTGAAGACACTCAAATCCTGCACTTTTATAACTTCCTCTCCAGAATCCTCCAACAACAAAAATTAGAATTTCGTTTGATGTTTTAACTCTTGTATAGGTGGTAAGGGGTGTGGTTGAAAGCCTCAAGATTATTACACGTCAAGCAAGTTTGAGGGTTGCAGAGTATGCATTCCACTATGCCCAGACGCATGGAAGAAATAGAGTTTCTGCTATACACAAAGCCAACATCATGCAAAAAACTGATGGGCTTTTCCTCAAGGTTTTTCTACATTGTTTTGTTCTCTCCCCTTTTAAAGGTCCCTTTGGAATATGGAAAATACCAGGGAAAGAAAACAGGAAGGAAAATGAAGTTCTAAGGTTCTAAGAAAACAGCAAGTTTGAGGGTTCCAGCTTCTAGTAAATGGCTATCAAGCTCTAAGGTTCACTTTTGTAATTATTTTGAAATTAAAAAGAGGAATAATTACAAAAATGACACCATCTTAGCATTTAACTTTTATTACCAAAATGAATGGTGCGGATTAAAAGTCCCCATTTATAAGACGAGTCTCGCCATAGGAGAGTTTCTCATATATGTGTGTGTACTGTGTATATGTATGTGTGTGTGCACGTGTATATGAATTAATCATATTCCATTATTCCATTTTGCTTTGTGTGTGCAAGTAATCAACTTTTTTATCTCCCCCCTCCCTCTCCCTAATATGTGGAGTTGAAACATGCTCTAAAGGATGCCTTATGCATCTATGTATGAATCATGAATCTAACTTTCACCATATCCATTTTAGTGTTGCCGTGAGGTTGCAGAGAAGTACCCCGATATCAAATATGATGAAGTTGTCATTGACAATTGCTGCATGCTGGTATATACCCTTACCTTTTTAATGAAGTAAGTCCCATATTTGTGGGATGAAAAGTAAAATGGGATACAATAATATCTATCTTTCTGACCATACAGCTTGTGAAAAATCCTACTCTTTTTGATGTATTGGTGATGCCCAATCTTTATGGTGACATTATAAGCGATCTTTGTGCTGGTTTGATTGGTGGCTTGGGGCTAACACCGAGGTATTTGAATTTCTCTTTTGAAATTTCTAATTTGAAGTTAATGTGATTACAACTAAGACATAATAATATTTTTTATTTAGCTGCAATATTGGTGAGGGTGGCATTGCTCTTGCTGAGGCTGTGCATGGTTCGGCACCTGATATTGCTGGAAAGGTTTGATTCAATACTTACTGGATTTGGGTTCAGATTTAGATTATATGGTGGGTAGCCTGATGCGTTTAATGTTCTAGTTCTATTTTTCTAACATGGGTTTAAATCATCAATCTGTAACTGATTTTTTAAGCATGGTTTGTGAGTTTTTAAATTAAGAAAGTATTTTTATCCTTTTAGTACACCTTGTTAGGTACTGTTTGATTACAGGAAATAAGAGTTGGTTTTACTAATGCATGGTGAATACGCAAGACATACAAAAATGTGATAGGGAGGGTAATTTCTATGTTTTTCTTCTTCCGGCTTTTTAATAGCCACATATATTTGATATGGGTTGCATCTTTTCAGAACTTGGCAAACCCAACTGCTCTGCTTTTGAGTTCTGTTATGATGTTGCGACACTTAAACCTTCATGACAAAGCGGACCGCATTCAGAATGCTATTCTGACCACAATTACAGAAGGGAAGTATAGGACTGGTGACCTTGGCGGGAAATCTTCCACAACTGAATTCACGAATGCAATCTGTGATCATCTTTGAACATGCTTGCCCTCGCATCCATTCATTGTTCCATTCTTGTTCCACCCTCTGCACTTTCAAATAGGAAATTTGAAAAGTTTATAAACTTTTATTTTGGGAAAGCGATTTCCAAGTTTATTTACAGTATGGACCATAGAGTGATAGAGAAATAAAAAAAGTTTTCCCCCGCACAGTGCGTTGGTGTTTTGCAGAAACCCTGCGTGAAAGGATGGTTTACTAACATCGGTTCAGACGGCTAAATTCCAGCGGGAAGCCAATTTCATGGTGATTGTTCATTTATTTGATTGATCTGGTACTTATCATTTTTCCTGGATCTGAGCAGCACATGCTTTATTTTTATTTATGAAAATTCACTTAACTTCCTATGGTAGATTCAGTAATATTTTTGTGTTGTCTTTACCAAATTTTACATTTTGTCATGTTAACAATTTCTACAAATTTTGAAATTACTTTTTATGTGTAATTGCATTTAATTCATTATTTTTCTGGATGTGTACGTTTTGTCAGATTTATTAATGTGGAAATTTTAATGGCAAGTAATTGAATATCATGAAAATTCAAAATTATGAATTTGTAACACTGGAATCGGTTGAATCAGTTGAAAATTGAAAGGATGAAATTAATAAATTCTATCTGATTTAATTTTTTGATTTATGAAGAAGAAAAATGTTTTAGTAATAAAATTAAAAAAAAAAAAAAAAGTTACTCCCTCCGTGAGTGATGAGTCCTTTCCTATTATTGTCCAAGTTTCTAAACTTTCTATTTGGTCAATACAAAATTACAATTCAATCTTAATTTTTTATGTATCGAATTATTCTGATTTTTGCGATTTTGTAAAACTTTTATAGTTTCTAAATGTGTAACTTTTTTCCAAAAACAATTGGTGTGGATAGGGATCTATTTGCTTTATCGTTAGTCAAATATTGTAAATCGTAAAACATTGTAAATCGTAATAGAACAGTAAGAGGGCCACGGAGGTAGTATATGAAAACAATTTAAATGATTGTTTATAGTAATTCCAGCCTATTCAATCAGAAAAACACCAATAAAATGCAACAGTAATATGAACAGATAAACACACACAAAAAAAATTACTACTTAGGGCATCCCCATTCATAGGATTATTTAGGGATTATTTTGATGATATGGATGATATTTTTTGAGATTATAGATGAGATGTTGAGATTATTTATAGAGATTATTTGATAAAATAATTTGGTATCAAATTTTGAATCTGAATTATTTGGAGATCATTTTTAACTTTTAGACTCCTCTCCCAATTTCTTACGCATACTCGAAGATTGGCTTCAAAAGTGAGATACGAAACTTCAAAACAGCATCCGCTATTCTGATTATTCTCCCATTAAACTGCATGCATTAATATTCCCTATCAAACCATTGTACATTTGTACATTAAAATTCTAATTTCAAACTAGGGGTGGGCACGGTCCGGGACGGTTCGGGATTTGGCATATCCCGATCCCGTCCCGGTTTTATAACAATGGTTCGGTACGGTACGAGATAAGTCCTCATCCCAATGTTGCCCCATTTAAAACGGGACCGGGACAACCCAAGAAAAACCGGGACGGTTCGGGATGTCCCATAAAATATGCATTTGTGAAATGTGATATAAAAATAAGCATAACGTCAAAACAAAAACGTAACTATTTTTGCAAATTTAGCTTCCCTAAAAAGTTAAGTAAAACCTTTAATTAACTATTTTTAATTTTTGTCTTGTAAATTTGTTTGGTCCCCCTAATCTTGTGTTTCCTCTAGTAGAATAGTAGCGCAAAATATTTTCATACTTTATTTGTAGTACACTTGTAATTTTCAATACTACATTAAATTAAATATCATATCTATAAAGATATGGATGGACCCGGGCCGGTTCGGGCCCGGTTCGGGCCTAGGCCCGGCCGGGCCTCGGGTCTGTTTTGTTGGGCCCGAGCCCGAACCGGTGGCCACCGGTTCCGGGTCCGGTTCCGGGCCGGGCCGGTCGGGCCACCCGGTTTAATTTTTTTTTTTCCTTTCTTCCCCCACCCCCCCCCCCACCCCCCCACCCCCCCAAACCCCCCCAAACCGGCCTAAACAGATAGCCCAAGCCCAACAGCCCAAAACAAATGAAAAAAATTAAAAAAAAAAAATAGATTTGGCCCGGACCCGGGCCCGAACCGGCCGGGCCGGGCCGTCAAAACCATGAACCGAGCCCGGAACCGCCCCACCCCCGGGCCTCCGGCCCGAACCGGACCCGGACCCGGATAACCGGGCCGGGCCGGGCCCGCACAGTAGCGGGTCGGGCCGGTCCCGGGCCGGGCGGCCCGAACCGAGGCCATGCCTATATAAAGACACTATATGTATATATTTTCTAGTAGTTATTTTGGAAAATATTAAATCTATAACAACACTATAATTTGGAGTAGTAGTTTATTCCATCATAAATAGTATTCCGCATGTAATAATATATTATTGATTAGTAAAATAAGAAACAAAAGAAATGAGACTAAGAGAGACATGAAATAAGATAAAATTACACTAGGGAGACTAAGGCTCTGTTTGCAAACACAACTGGGAAGTGCTTTTAACTTTTTTAAATGATTTGGTAAAAAAAGTGATTAATAGTAAAAATTGGTAGTGTTTGAGAAAAAAGTGATTTTGAAAAGTAAAAGTTGGTGGTGTTTGGTAAAATAAGTGCTTTTTGTGTAATAGAAAAAGTAAAAAGCGGATTCTAGCTTTTAGCTTTTAAGTAATTCATTTAAGTAGAAGTTGTCATTTGAAAACATCTTTTTTAGCTTTTTTAAATCAAAAGTTGGGAAGTGTTTTTTTAGTTGTGTTTGCAAATAGAGCCTAAGGACTAGAAAGTTTTAATTGGGTTTGACTATTACATAGCATTAGAAATTTAAAATAATATACTCCCTCCGTCCCAATATAAAAGGCACACTTTCCTTTTCGATCCGTCCCAATATAAAAGGCACATTTCCCTTTTTGGCAAACAAAACAGTGCAAAACAGTGCCAAACAGTGTCCAAACAATGCCAAACAGTGTCTAAACAGTGCCAAATAGTGTTCAACAGTGTTCACCCTTAAAATGTCTAGAAACGCAAATGTGCCTTTTATATTGGGACGGAGGGAGTATTAATTTCAAACGGGACACCGGGACGGGACATGATATTTTATAGCTATCCCGGTCCCGTCCCGATTAATATCGGCGCGGGACCGGTTCGGGATGAAAAAATTGCATCCTAAATGGATCGGGATAGTTTCGGAACTGTATCGGGATTTTTCGGTTTGGGACACTGGGACCGGGATTTTTGCCCACCACTATTTCAAACCTAATTTGAAAAAGTAAAACGATGTACATTAAATTAAATGAGTATATGTTCCATAGAAAATCTAAGTAAATTAAAATCATGGATGGGGAGACAAAAAATTGATTTGAAGATTATTTGAGATTTTCTTATGTGGAAATGACATGGCAATAACAAATCATAAAAACCCGTAAAAGTGAGGATCATGGCTAAACCTCATAATTAGAGCAAAACAAAATAATCCTACAAAAAAACTTTATGCTCACATACAATTCCAAAACTACCTCGCAAAAATTCCTTGAGATGAGTTTTATGTACGCAAGGCACTTAAAATCTCTCTAGAGATTGAAATAATAAAGACTTCAATTTTGCATGAAGGCAAGTCTCTCCCCATACTCAAGTACTCAACACTTGACATCAATGGTCCGCAATGTTTTGCCTATAAGCGATTCATGTACTCAATCTATTTGTTATATTATATATGCACCAACATAATCAAGTGAGTTTTTAGGTATAACAACATCTCAAGCCATATTTTCAAGCCCACAGCGGAAAGAACCTGATGTTAGAGCCAAAGTTTCTGCCTTCCCTGTAATTTCAACTCAATGTTGAATTCAAAATTTCTATAAAATTGCCAAAAGGACTAAAAGAAGAGTATAGATTACGACCAACAACAGTTGCACTGATTCTAGCCATTGTTATGTTACTCCATAACTTCCATATGTGATTGGATTGTAGCCTAGAGTGTCTAATGAAGAAGTAGAGCCGGATGAAAACTCCTATAAAGTAGACAAAATTTTCAAACATATTTAAATACATAAACCTATCATTTAAATCTACTGTCACGAACACACAAAGCAAACCAGGTACATATATTTTTATAAATAGAGTAACATAGAGACAGCAACATAAACTAAATAGTAAATAGACACAAGTACCTCTTCGTCCAATACCACTAATGAAATAACTCATGAGCATACTTAGATGTAGATCCAAAAGAGCACACTCCACTTAATAGTTCCTTAAGCAAAATAACTGCACTTGTTTACTCTTTAGAGGTTAAGGTTGACATCTGGCATATTTGTCTTCACCCGTCACATATTTGCTGCAAAAACAAAAACAAAAATTGATAAAGAAGATGGTAAAAAGAGACACATTCTTTGTGGGAACTCATAAATGCAAGGATTTAAATATAACTGCGAATACAGATGTACACCAACACATTGAGATGTGGTGACGTGACACGTAAGGTAAATGTTAAAACATGTTCGGAGTATATAGTTGAGAGCTAGCTGAATTAAGTAACTACCTATTTAGTTATCTTAGTATGGATATATATGCCGATTAGGAGACCATATAAAAGATTTAGTGTTCTTCCAAGAAGGATTCTTGTTCAAGGATTCTTGGTCAATCCTAAACCTAACCCATGCCCAACCCAAATCTTTCTCTCTCTATGATCTTGGGGGGCCTTTTACACACAATCAATCCAAACTTGAAACATTACATGACTACTTAAAACTTAGTGTTAATGCTACTCTATAGGCATTTCATTCATTCATTCATTCATTCATTCATTCATTCATTCATTCATTCATTCATTCATTCATTCATTTTCATTTATCCCATTGCCGCAAAGGCTCCCACCTACGGTGGGGTAAGGGGGGTCGAATGTACGAATCTTACCCCTGTACTAAAGCACAGAGAGATTGTTTCCGGATGACCCTTAATGAAAATCGCGTCCAAAATTGCATGAACTGACTACAGCTTCATAACAAAGAAGAGCAGACAGTTTAGTGGACCATTTTGCTTTATTCCATCATATTATCAAGCCAAAAAATAATGAATCTTTGGCTCCATTGCAAATGACGGAGCCAAAGATTTAAAAAATAAGTCCAAAGCAGAAAATATTCTATTTTGACACAACAAATTGAATAATCAATATGAAATTTTTTAGACGTCATTGAAATTTCCTATACTTCAAAAATGTTCTCTTTCTGTTCATATCTCTATATACCAACTTTATTTTTCAAATTAATTAAGTACGTAATGATTAGTCATTTCGTGGTTTGAACTAAAGATAATTACCCTGTGACTAAAACTTATTCACTTTTCCAATTTATGACCTAACTGGTCTTTTTATCAAAATAATATTAAAATTCATAATAATTGATTAAAATT